TTTGAAAAGAAGGTTCTTTATGCTCCTCTCTGTTTATACACTAGTTTTGTGATTCTCTTTTATCTACTTTGTTTAGACACTCTTCTCTTTATTTTAAATATTTAGTGGAATAAATACTTATTTACTCTTCCAGTTAGTTATTTGAAATTAGCAAAATTCTTGGCAAATGACAACAGCGTGGAAATTCCACAAGTCTTGCAAGTCCACGAAGTTTGCAGAAATACAAAGTTGAAGAGCCGGACCTCCGTGGTCTTTCACTTGGGTACTTTTTTTTTTTTTTTTTTGCCTCTGCTGAAAAAACTGAAGAGTTGCAGAAAGAGTAATTGGCACACAGTTATTCCTGGCTATGCAAAGGACAGTGAAACAGTCCTGAAGATGCACTTGGATTAATGCTTTATATGCATATGAAAATCCTAACTGTAAGCTGTTAGCTGATGCTGTAGTAAATAAATACTTAGTGAGTGTATCTGGAGTTTTCAGTAACTCTTTGTTGGTGACCAAAGTTGGAGCAGTGTTAGAGCTGGCTGCCTGTTCAGCTAATTCTCATGTCAACATGAGCACCTTAAATAGCAAAGGTACCATTGGCCAGTGGACTCAAACTTCTCTTTTAACTGCTCATCTCTAAAGATTTATTTTTTTTTCAGGAAAATTAAGCTGATTAAAGGTAGAAAGAAAGAGATCTGTTAATTGAAATGCTGGTTTTGTTTTTTAATGCACCCAGCCTTCTTTCCTTTCCTTGATTATTAGACATTTTACGTTTCTTTATGCATTACTTTTTGTAAAAAGAAATTAATATCAATGAGGGATAAAGTATTTATATTTTTAACACTTGTGTTACAATAGGCTCCACAAGGCTACAGAGATGAAAATCCTGTCATGATCTTCTATGTACATTCATAACTGCAACCTTTTTTTCTCTATCCACCATTCATGCAAAAACTTCAATTTCATATTAACATTCTCTCAATTTCTCTTGTGACTATGTCTTTTTGGTAAGACTAAATCTATCATAAATCCACTTGAACTTTATCTGCCTGTGGAAATATGTAGTGTTTTAGGTAACAAGGTTAGATATGCAGACTAAAAGCAGCCACTTTTGGCATTCTAAGTGCTCTTCAGAAAATGCATCCTGTGGGAGTTAAAATACTACAAAGGCTTGTATACTTAAGAAATAGACTATTAAGGCAATATATTGTGTTAGACTTCAGTTCAATATGAGTTATAGTATAAAAAAAGTCACTTTCTTTTGCTCCACAAAAAGAAAATTAGCTAAAATATTGAATATGTTAGCTGCTACATTTTGAATTAACATATAGACTGAAGGGTAAATTCTGTGCTTCTTGTGTAATCTAATTAGCATTTATGAGATTTACTGGGATGAATTTTCCCCTTGGCATATGCAATTGCAAACATGGAGAATGTGGGCTGCAGGCTGCTAGGGGCAGACATCTGCCTGGGGTGGATGTCCGTGTAGAGAAGTGCCTACGTCCTTGCTCCCTAAGGACCTGGCATCAACTGACATGGTTCTTGAAGTTATGAGAAGATTTGTAAGCATGGGGAAGTTCCTCAGCTGATGAAAATAAGTAGAAATCTGCTTTGAGGGGGAAGGAGGTTCAGAAGATGTTTCTTGACATCACAAGGTGTAATTTAGTTAACAGAGACATACTATAAGAACCCTGTGTTGCTGTAGTACTTTACAGAAATCTAAGCTAAAAAATAAGATTAATACTGCTTTTTGAGAGAATTTTAAAAAAAAAAAGCTATGGCAGTTTCATTGGAGGTCGTTTCTGTGGTGTGGGCCTCAGTCAAGATTGAAACCAGTGTTAAAGCTGATAATTAATCCTGTTGGCTCTCTTATTTCATGAGGAAAGAATTAAGTGTGTTTTTCAATATAAATTGTTCTTGATGTACATCAATAAACTATCCTGCTTTGGAAGTACCTTCTCATTAGCACTCATGAGAAGCACTAAAGACCTGCTAGTGTCTTTAAACACAACTGTCCAAATGTATGAGCCTAATTTACTTTCTTTGAATTTTATATGGTTTTAGCAGCTAAATCTTAATTTTCTTTGATAATATACTTCTTTAAGTGGCAGTATACGTTTTTTTTCCTCTTTATGTCATCTGCTAAAGCATGTGTTAACCATCATAAATTTTTGATGGAGCAAACAATCTGGACTGTACCCTTGCATGTAACAAGCTAGCTCATTGCTAGCTGTGAGCTGCTTGCCAGTAAGATTTGGCTTTCACCTTGCTTTCAGAGCACAGGTGCAGTACATGGAGTGAAGCTCCTGTCACTTTTTTATAGTAGCTCAGCTCAATTAGGCAGAACTTTAGATCAGCTGTTTCACAAGAAAACATTGACTCATCTCTTTGTTAGTGAAAAATGTTTGGTGAAATAGTGGCATCCACAACCTCAGTTTAAATGAACAATGTAGTCCTTTCAGGGTGGAGTAAAATCAGCCTGCTTATTGGATTCAGTCTGGATTTCATTGATTGGCTCTGGGTTTGTAATCTGGGACTGTTGCTGGCTTTTTAATTCTTGGTTCATATACAAGTCCTTTTTGAGTTTGGTAAAGAAAAAATAAGAATTGACAGCACCATTTGGAACCATATTTTGTATAAATGTGATTTTATTCATTCAGTGCTGTCAAAAAGAAAGTAAAAGTTCAGAGTGTAATGCAGCTGTGATGGTTCAGTGTCCAACATCAATATCTGCACTCTTCATGTCATACAGAGATTTGGTCCATGCTGTCTGATTAAACCAAGTGGAGCTTGTTTGTTGTGTATATAATATATAATTAAAACAAAACTTAAAAATAGGGCATTGTATGAGCAACACTGTACTTAGTCATATCCAGCAACTTTCTGCGAGATGGCCTCTGTGTCTCCCATGACCCATGAGCTTTGAAAATCTCAGAAAAACAGGACTTCTCTGGAGACAGCATGTTTTGTGTTTACTGTCTTAGGCATAGGGGAAGGAGAGTTTTTTCCAGAGGGTCTTACAGGTTTCAGAGTCCCTCTTGCAAGCATCTGGGTAGGATTGAGAACCAGTAGCGTCCAGTCTCAGCTTCCATTTGTGTCCACAAGTACTACCTTGAACTACTTCACCTCCTTCCTTCTACCCATCAGCCAAGTGCCAGTTTTAAACAGGCCCTAGAGAGCATGAAGAACACTGCATTGTAATGGTAGATAAAGTTCAAATGCCAAATATTCCCTCTACTGCGAAAACTACGCAACTGCTTCCCAACATCTTGGCTATTTTCTCCTAGCCATCTCCATCAAACCTCATAGTCATCCTCAAGGCATTTGAGAGACTTGGAGAAGAGAGCTAGTGAGGGTGGCATATGCTGCAGCTTTTCAAGTGTAGGGAGGAGGCCAAGTCCTCCTCTGGTAAACAAGGGGAAGAGATGGGAGCGGTAATGGAGCACTCTGGAGGGCCCCCACATCTGTCCTGCTGCTCTGAAAGGAGCAGGAGCAGTGATGGCTGGTGCTGCTGGGATGGACCAGCTGATGCAGTGACAACATCAGGGAGACAGGGTGACCTTCCAGGACTCTTGCATAGGAAAGTGAGGCCGTGGCCTCTTCTTTCTGTTTGCTGCCCACCTTATTTCCCTGCCCTCTAGAGAAGAGGTTGCCATTCCCTGAGCTGAAAGCCAGGCCACGTGGGCTGTCACTACAACTGAGACCTTCAGAAATGTTTTGATGGCAAAGGAAAGATATGCAGAGATAGATGACTTAAAAAATGGGCCATCTCAGTATATTCTAGCTTAGTATTTTGTTTGCAGATTTTGGTCGATACCTTCCAGAAAGTATCACGGCTTTTGTTATTTCAGAGAGTGTGCTTAAAGTAAGAGCTATTCCTCTCACTGGCTGGTAAGTGGATTAGTTTGGCAAATTAAAGCTTTAGTTAGGATGACAGGAGAAGAGAGTATTTGTCCTCGGTCTCTATCAATGACTCTTGTCTCTAATGTTTCTTTTCTAGAAATTGAAAGAATACTGTATGCATGTTTGATATTGTATTTAGTCTCTCAAGATGGCATCCCAGGTCTGATGTTCAATTAGGGAGTGCAGTTCTGTAATCCTTATTTAATTAGAACTCCTTGTCTTACTCCCTGGGAGTTGCATTTGTAATTGGATTCTCAAAAGTGAGAATATGCAGAGGCTACCTCAAAGGGAAGTTGTAATTTGCTGATGTGTGTGAACCTGTAGTTCTTCGAGAATGTTTCCTCTGCATATTCACATTATGGGTCCTGTCCACCTTCTGTTTGCCTTTGGATTTCTGCTGCCCTACAGTTGCGGTGTTTAGTAAGAATAACTGAAGTATTGAGCACTGTACAACTCTCTAAAATCTCCGATTGCTTGGTGTCATGAGATGGCACTTGTACAGTCCTAGTAGTCACTGCTCTTCTAGGAAGTTCCTGTAGGTCACCAGCACTGGAGAACCAAAACCCAGTGGTGTGAATATGCAAGGACAGCACTCTCAAAGAGCAAACCAATGGTAAGTACCCTTTCTTTGTCTTCTGTGATTAACCAAATGTTTGAAATGTTAATTTGTAAATTCCCTATTTGCAAATTTGCAGCACTCTCTCTATGATAAAAACATACTGAGATTAATTTTAGAGCTGTTGCCTTTCTGGCAAAAACCAAGAAAGTATCTGTAGGTACTCACTTCGGTTGTAAATTGGTGTACTACTATCAGCATGTGGGTGTCTACACATGTTTGAGCTATAATATATATTTCTATCAGACAAAAAGGCACTATTACATTGCAGTATTATATATTTTACAGAGTTACACATTTTTAGTTGTATTATACTAGTAGATTATCTAATCTGTTAGTAGATTAGATAGCAGAGCGAGTCACTAACCAAAAAAAAAAAAAAATCTTCTGATAGTATTAACAATGTTAATTCTCAAAGCAGATTTTCCAAAAGAAAATCAAAGATACATTGTTTTTCACTTCTAAATGTTTTTCTGAACTTTTGTTTTTTCCAGACATGGAATTCTGTGAGACTCCCCATATTCTGTGCTCTGGCTATCAAGCAGATTTACACGGTGTAGCTGAGCACAGTTACCCGCTAGAGGTGGGCTCAGATGTGGATACTGAAACAGAAGGTGGTGCGTCCCCGGACCATGCCCTGAGGATGTGGATGAGGGGGATGAAATCGGAACACAGCTCCTGTTTGTCAAGCCGAGCAAACTCAGCGTTGTCCCTCACTGACACTGACCATGAAAGGAAGTCTGATGTGGAGAATGGTAATAAAGAAATGCATCTAATGTACTGAATAGAAGTAGTTAGAAGTAGTAATTTATTTGAAGATTTCTTCTTGTACTTCTATTCCCCCACCCCCCGCCCCCATTTTGTTTTCTTTCTTTTTCCCCCTTCTTTCTTAGGTCTCTGTATTATACGAAAGGTGAAAGGGTTGTTTGGTATGTGTATTGTATTTATAATATGGATGGAAAATAAGACAAAAAATGAAACAATGTTTTTGTTAGAACATCATTCTTCTAGAGACCGATTACTTTCCCACATTCTCCATTTTCATATCATAGGACATTTCTCATTTGAGTTTAGTGGCCTATGAGTTAGGTTCTAAAATAAATCTCTATATGTACTTTTATATCACATTTTGTGTAGAAATGATGCTGCACATACTGGCTTCTGGGTGTAGCTTTAAGACTCTACAGCCAGGTGACTTCAGAAAGACAACCTGGAATCGTAAATGCTCTATTTACCTGTAATTTCAGGCTACACCTGAAGACATGCCTTTATCAGTAGGACAGGTTGAACAGGTTTTTGTCATATCTCAGTTCTGTATATCTCTGCATATCGAGTGTGCGTTTCTGGGTTAGGTTTTTGGGGAGGTGGTTTTTTTTGTTTGTTTTTTTTTGTTTATTTGTTTTAAAATTTGTTCTCTTTTAGGATCTTTATACTTATTTACTTTTCTTATGGTTTAGTGTGTCACAGAAGGTGAGAGTGTGTATTTAACACGGGGAATTAATTTTTTATTTCTGCGTCAAAATTGATGAAGATCTGCTCTAAATGTTTCTTTAAACAGTATAGTAAGTAAACAAATTTATCATACTTAAGATCAACAAGCTTAGCTCATATTTTAATTTCTGTATTTAATAGCTATATGTTACAGCAGCTCTAAATGTAGTTAAATATGTATTTTTAACTGGATAAGAGATAGAGGAACCAGTGAAAGTGGCAGATTGACACTTCGGAGTTCACAGTGATATATTTTAGTAGATCTATAGGCATAATGTGAAAGAGAGTTCAGTCGTGAATGTCATTTCTATAGTTGTGTGTTTTGAATTTGTCAAATACGAAGCTAGTAATTTAATTATAATTTCATCTGCATGTTTGTCAATACCAATGTTAATGTCCAATATAGGTTCAAAGACATTAGGTTACCTGCATGAGTTTAAAAAAAAAAAAAAAAAAAAAAAGTTTTTGCTACAGAGGTCGTTTTTAATTAAATGCTCTGTTGAGGATTAAGCATTCTGCGCTATCACATTGTATTGTATTGCTAGAATTGGTTAATTTTCCAATGTCACCCCATTTGTATGACGATCAATGGATGCGTGCCTTCTAACTTCCTGCTTCTGCCATGTTCTGTGTGAGATCCATCCTCTGAAAAGTGTTGTTGAAGTGGCTGAAGGAGTTTAATCTGGTCTGCCTGGAATTGGTTGGCCCTTAACTATGAAAATGGTTTAAAGGGAATGCTGCCTGAGAAAGGAATGTGCATACTTGTACCATTCAGACTAAGAAATACACATGGTCATTTATGTTTTAAGATGCTGGGAAGCTGATATATTGAAAGCAATTAAGCATATAACTAAGTTATGTGTTTCAGTCTGGAATGCAATTGGTGCAGCTGGGTATTCATGACATTTTGCTAGCCACACAAGTTGCACTAAATAAGTCACCTTGCTATAGACAAAAATTATTGTAGGCAGTAAAGGAAATGCTTTTGTTACTTTCATCATCGTACATTGCAGGAACCATGGGTTAAGTGTCATTAAGATAGGGATGCATAATGACTGTGCTTCACCAACAAAGAATGGAGTAGTTTCTTCTGAATGTTTGTCTTGGAGGATGGTTTTATTCAATTTAAACTAATTTCCTGCATGGTCTGGAATAGAACAGGGTAGTCCTTTTGCATGTGGCTTTAATATTTGGTTCCTTTATAACAAATTTTTAATCAGGGATTTGTGTTTTAGGTACTTGAATACAGATTTTAACTAAATAGTTGGGAGAGGAAAGTGAGGGCAAGAGTAAGTTGGAAGAGAGAGAAGCTGAGAGCAGAAACTCCTTTGAACTTTTTAGTTGTCTCCAGGCAGGGTCGACAGAGCGGGTATCAGTGCTTCCTGTGGTGTTGGGTCATTATAATAATTACAGACTTGAAACTTGATGTGGATGAACTTGAAGCTATATTCATTTATATTATGTAGTAGTTCGCAGGTTAGTTGATAGTCAAGATTCCTGATCCAGGGAGTGGCGTGTTCTCCATCTGGGTTGGCACTCAGTAACAAAGCACTCTTTGAGTACGGAAGTTCATAAATCTCTACTTAAATGAAGTAATAGATGGCACATCTTTCTGTTTCTATGCAGTCATTTGTGCCAGGGGCTTAATAAGAGCACCAAGTGTTGCATTTATCCTTGTCAGTTCCTGCCATGGAAATAGACTTTCTTTGTGCCAGCCAGTAACTTCTGTGATGTGAAAATGGGTGAGCCCATAACATCAGCTGCTGGAAGTTCATGAAATGCTAGTTTCCATGATACTGTCTAATTGCTGTAAAAATAGGTACTTAGTAATTCTGGCTTTCAAAGGGTTGACCAAGTGGCATGTGAACACAGCTATTTGTAACTGGAGTAAAATTAATGAGGAAGATACAGTTGTTGTATTGTTTGAGAAAACTAATTGCTATTATTGTCTGTATTTTGAAAAGGTCAGTTGATTTTTGTTGTTGGGTTTATTTTTTTTCTCTATGAGCACGATTCTGCTACAAATGCAGAATAGTTTCTTTTTGTGGTGATATTAGGACATGTAACTGTGTGGACTCTGGTAGACCTGCTTTCAGGACATTTTTTTGCTTTACATTGATCTGAAGCAAATACACTTTTGCAAATTTTGTTCTGTTTAGATAGCCCTTGAATTTCTCATTTTCATTCAAAGCTCTAGCAGGTGCTTCCCTGACACAGGATATATACTTCATTATGTATTCTGAGTAGCCCAATGTGAAAATTTATTTGAGGATTATTTTCCTTCATAGATGCACCAACTCTGTCATAATCACTGTTTAAACGCACTCCGTTTGTTTTGGCAGCATTGGACAGATTATATGAAACACCAACATTCCCATTTAAATTAGCGTTGTCAATGTTAATGGCAACTAATAATAGCCTATTAGTGTACAAGCTGCCTTCAGCTTTGCCTGAGGCTAAGCAAAATATATATTAACTGCAAGTAATGAATGACCAATTTCTTGGGGATCATTGCTTATCTCTGTTATAGTATAAATAGCTCTATTTAAACATGAACACTGTTACTCTACAATATGTGAATGTAAATTTCAGACAGAAACACTGCAGAATAACAATACCAAAAATAGTTACTTTATTTCATTGAAGACGACTGCATTTACCCTCAATTCACTGAAACAATCGTATCTGTCATTACAGCGTATCAGAACATTCAGTTCAGTGGTTTAGTCTGCCAGATTACTGAGCAAATTTATTTATTTCTTTATTTTTCTGGAGTAAAGCTATGGTCCAGGAGAGGATGCAGCCATGATCTACAAAATCTGTGTAGTATACTAAAAAGGAGACTACAGTCCTTTTTGTATCCATATACTCTTCCCCATTAAATTGTTCATGCAGTGCTTATGTTTTGCTTTACAGGGTGTCTGTGCAGCTGTGAAGCAATGAATTTTACCTCAAATGCATTCATGCCATGCCATAATCCATTTCTGAGCCACATTTGACTTGTTTGCACAACCATCAACTCTTACTTTTAGCCACTACATCTCACTACTACTACTACACTCATCCAGGATTCCCAGTACTGGATGAGTGTAGTGTGAAATACACACTCAGTCTTGGAGCTAGATTCATGTTCAGTTCCTTTGGCTACATCATTTTATGACAACTAGGCATTGGCTATAGTTCACAACAGCTTCTTTGAGATTTGTAGGCAAGAAATTAGGGTGTTAGTATAGGCTGAAATACCACTAGACTGGTCATGGCATATAACTTTAGACTGCTTGAGATCTGCCCGGGGGATTATTTTTTTTTTTTAATTACATATTTGTCATCTTAAAAACAAAGCAAGAGGGGAAAAAAAATATAACAGCTATGAAAAAATGTAGTTGTTTCCTTTTTCCCACAGAAATTATTGGGAAACTTCTTTCTTAACATCAGCGTAGAGGATCAGATTCTATTTGGAACAATAATTTTAATAATATCAATAATTTTAAACGGCAGACTGCAAAGATGGAATAAAAATATTAGCCATATATTAATAAGTAGATATAGTAGTGAAATCAGTAGGTTACACATCAAAGCTGAGTTTAACGACATAGAAACATGTACGATTAATCTTGTGTAATTCAACTAAGTATTTGTTTTATACCCTGGGTGCAGTGGTCCATTTAACAGAGCTTTTGACTCTGCCTAAATCTCTGGGTTTTTTTCACTTTGATTGCTGGGCAGATGGGTGACTTTTGGGCAAGTCACCTCAGCTCTCTGCGCTTCAGATTCAGTACCTTAATAGTATCTGTTAAAGGGATAAAGATGCTTAATTAGTAAAAGAAATGGTGGAATTGCTGATGCTGTATGAGAAACACAGCTTTGTGAATGCTGTAGTTATTCAAACATGGGGAGGATTTAGTAAAAGACAAGGTTCTGGTTTAATTTCTGGTGTGTGTCAATCGACCTACTGTGAATTCACACCTGTTTAAATTAGTCTTGAATTTGGCTCTTCATAAAAGTCTTGTATTTAATACAAGAAAGTAAGAGCATTGGGATTAATGTTGCTATTATTTACTGTTATTTTGTAAACAAGCCAGACATTAAGCTGATCTCTGGCTTTCTCATTTCTCCAGGAAATTATTACCAACAGCTACATTATAATAACAATACATGCTCTGAGAAGAAGTATGCATGTGACTGACTCTCTATGCAGGATTGTATTTGTAATAACGAGGGCTGTATCTGAAGTATTTTCATTAGCTCCTGTCACTCTCTATTTACAATGGTACAATTAAGAAATTGAGTTACTAATTTGCAAGTAGAGCAGTTAGGTCAAACATGTCTAAAGAGCCTTGAAAATATAAAGGTAAACATCAGTCTTAATCCCATTCCATCTGTGCCATGTAATATTTTTCTTTTCATTCCTAGTGTGCTTTATTTTGCCTTTTTATTGTGGCAAGGATTGCAATCATGTTTGTACACTCCTGTCTGTTGGATGGTTTTAGTCACCTAACAGATAAAGGCAACCTCATCACTTAAACAAAATGCAAAGCCCCCATGGTGAAATTCCTTCAACTTCTGGCGTTTACTATAGCTTGTCAGATATTTGATCTATGATACTCTCAGATACTTGACAGAAAAGGGCCACTAATCTTCCCTTAATAAAAGACTACTTTTGCTTCTGTTCTGTTTTTTTCTCTTTTAGTGTTTAGATGGTATTTATGTTGTTTGCTTCTGCTCTTGTTTCAAAGAAGCCTCCTCAGTGTCAAAGGAAGCACGTGAATCTCTGCAGTAACATAGCAATGCCTTTTGGGGAGCATTGGAGTATGCGTTGACATTGTAACTGCTCTGCTGGAGTTGTTAGGAGCGTAAGATGCTTTTGTTGACCTCGGAGTGGTTCCTTTGGAAATGTTACTGTCTCAAAGGAAGCATGTAAGTCATCTGAATTGCTTTAGATAAGTGTGAGATGCTTCTGTAAGCACTGTAACATCACCTCAGTTGTAATCATAGAATCATAGACCAGGTTGGAGGGGGCTTTGAGCAACCTGGTCTGATAGAAGGTGTCCCTACCCGTGGCAGGGGGGTTGGAACTAGAGGATCTGTAAGTTCCCGTCCAACCAAACCATTCTATGATTCTGTAAGCATAGCACAAAGATATTTTTTTTTACATACCATAATCCAAATGACCTTTGCCCACAGCATAGTAAAATGTATCTTTGCATTTGCACAAGGTTGTGTGATATTTTTAGCCCTGCAGTTTTGTTTTCTTCCATGGGTAGCTGAAAGAGAGGAGGGAGGGAAGCTTGAGGAGAAGAGTCAGGACTAATTTTTATCCCAGAAATGAGTAACTTGGCATTAGAGCTAAAAAAATCACTTGGCTTTCCTCCCCTGTGTTATGCAGAAAGGATAGTGGATGTGGCTTAAGGAGCCTGTAGCAATATAAATTATTGCTCCTTCTTTCTTTAAATCCTTTTTACTTTCTCAGGTGGAAATGAGCATGGAGGAAAAGTATTTGCACAAATATTTTACAGTGCGAGTGGATGTTGCAGTGCTGCTGTAATTCTTGGGAACTCATTTTATCTAGGCTGCCCCAGAGGGGAAGGATGAGGTGGGATGGGATAGACACTAAAGCGCCTGCCTTCCATCAGGGTCCTGCAGTGCAAAAGTGTGAGGATTATCTGACTCCTCGTCTCAGCAATCTTTGTGAGACAAGGGGGACGCTGAACAAAATACTTATTCTGTTTTTAAACATTTACCGTGAATTCTACATGAGGACATTTCTGGACTAATGTATGCGGGGAACAGTTCCATTCTAAACACTCAGCATGTCTATCCTGATGTTTTATTTACGTTGTTTTATTATTAAGTTTATAATATGTTTTATTTCTCATCTCTTTTGGTTAAATTTGTACTGTGTTAGAAGATCAGAAATCTGCTTTACAGAAACAACCTACAGCCATATTTTATATGTAAATCCTTTGGAATAAATTATTTATTTTAGTTTAATGCTGGTTTAGTTTAATACTTATTTTTAAATATAAGCAATTCTCGCTTACATGTCTTAATATGTAAACATTCCTGACAGTTGGAACCTGTTTTTCATCAAAGTTTGGGATGTTCTGCTGAAAGCTGCCAGTGGAACATCATTAGTGCAAAATAAGGCTAACAGGAAAACTTGTGAACTCTGATCATAGAAGATTATAGTTAAGGCTACAAGATAAATAAGATCACATTACTCTTATTTGGTTCCTTATACCATCAGCCAGTGTGGGTTTAAATACAAAGATATCTAGAGCTTTTTTTCTTCCCCCTAGCAAAATGCTTTTCAGCTATTCCAAACTGTTCTACTGTAAGTGAGATAAAAAGAAAGGATCTTGTAAATCGGTACAGGATTGGTAGAAAAGTGGAAAATACTGACAAATTATCCTTTTAGGGTCTAACAAGGTTTAATCTAAATATAATTTCTTCTGGGCAGTATGAGATCTTCTAAGAATTTATTGTCATCCTACCAAAGATGACAAAAGATTGCTCATTCTTACTCTTCAGCCTTTTTTTCATTTTTACTCATTTAATTAATTGTGTATTAAATTACATGAGAAAGTCTCATCTTCCACTTTCAAATTTGTTAGTGTTTCATTTCCTCTTGGGCTTAGGAGTAATATGAAGATCAGTATAAATCTGTATTATTCAAAGTTACAAATATTAGCATATCCTCATCTTACAAATGGGAAGTACTGATAGTAGCAAATAGCTTTGGTCAGACCATCAAGAGAAAACATAGAAAATGGAGAAAGTGGCTGCTTCCCATGGCTGCAACCTTCATAGTTTTCTAAAAGTGAAACCTAAACCAGACATATTAGACTACTTCTTATTTCTGCAATAGAAAATAGGATAAGAATGAGAAGTTGTGTATGAAATTATGGTTAGTTTGTACAGGATAACGCAGATTTGAATACTGCTTGTTTCAACATGCTTTCATATACAGGTCTTATGAAATGAAGTTCAGTATTTTAGATACTAATTTTGTTTTATAATAGCTAGCTCTGCACCCTGACTTTATATTTTGTAACATAAGTATTAGAAGAATAGTGTATAATTAGCTTTTCTAGAATGTGGGTCTAGGAGCAGTGAATAATTTCTGCAGGCTGCTTCCTTTCCCTAACAGATGTTTTTTGAGTAATATTTTAATTAGATTCACATATTCTGATGACTAATTATATTGCCAGTGTAGTTTCTTTATCTTAAGTTTCTACTCCAGAAGATATGCAATGTAGATTTTATACATTGCTTCACAACGCTGACTTCCAGTTGAGCAGCAAGTCTTGGCATCTGATCTTAAGTTGTTCACCATGAGATGTATTGGCAGTACGGAGGAGCAGCCCTTTGGGCATCAGAAGCCAAATGTTGGAAAGTAACTATGTTTCTTTGCCTTGGGTGTTACCCAGAAAAGGAGCTGGGGACCTCCAGTGATCTGAAGATTCTTTTATTCCATGAAACCACACTTCCTGAAAGATTTGTATGTGGGAGGAAATGCCTGGAAGTGAGGATGGCTTAGGACATCAGGTCAGGGTTGTTCAGCTCTATTGCTAGAAACCTTGCTAAAAGCTACTTAAAGCATGTAAGAAACCCAAGGGACAAAAGTTAAGGATACTTCTAAACTGTATATAGTATTTATTATGGTTCATAGCACTCCTCCCTACCCACCTCATCTGTCTTGTACATTAGAGGGATTTTATATCTCCTCTGACATCGTTGGAAATGTAATCAAGACAGTATGGTGCACTGGAACTAAAAGAAAAAAAAAAAGCATCACTATTTTAACTACAGACAAGTTGAGAGAAATGTTTGTATCTATTAAATATCTTCCTATTCCCAAATGATATGCATGTTAAACAAGTGTGAACACATGAATATCAATGACTTTGGATTTCTGTGACTCCAGCTACTAGACTTTCTCCCTGCCTTTCTTTCTCTGAAGATCCCATATAATTTTAGCATTGGTTATGCTAATAAATACTGCAGAGTATGACTCCAATTTGACGCAGCCAATGTTGTCTTATCTTAGCGGTGTATTTGTGGAACAGTTGAATGTTATTGATGAACTGTAAATTTTCTTTTGACTTTTGAATCTAGTCATTGTAACAAGCATTACCAAACGTTGCTTTGGGCTTGTTTACATCAATGTAGTAAGCATGTCACTTTGAAGCTGAAATGAATTCACATTGGTAAATGAGCTTGGAATATTTCACCGTGATTTATTCTTGTCTTTTCCAAAATATTGTTACATTACCTATCAATGAAGTACCATGGCCAAGGAAGAGTCAAAAGAGTATTTGCTGTAGGAATGAGTGAAGCCATTTCTTCAATGAACCTAGTGTTAAAGAGGTAGTTTCCTTGTGGTGTGGTGTGTTTGCTTGTAGGATCTTCACCATATTGTCACTCCACTTAGCTATAACTCACTGGTAGGTTGTTTAGCGTTCGTAACAGTATTAAGTGGCTCTCTCCTACACTCTCAAACTATGCCTTTGTCTTATGGAATGACAGGAAGCAAAATGGGGTCTTCATGCCTCTAAGACACCCCAGGTTTTCCATAATTAGTCAGTGGAGTAAAACACATTTAATCAAAAGAGTATTACTCACATCTTTCCATGTCAGTAATTTTGAGTTTAAATTTCAGTTTAAACTGTAATATGATTTTCTCTCTCTGCCTACAGTTACTTTTGAGTAAATACAAAATATAAATTGATACCTGCACTTTATATGTACCAAAACCACAGTAAGTGTTGTTTAGACTTGAGTGCTCTTCCTTCTCATTGCTTTGTCCAACAGGAATTTCAAGTTGTACTTCTGGTTTGAGAACATCATATTTGATTAACTTTTCCCCAAACAGTACTTTTGAGACAGCAAACTTTCTGTTA